TATATATATATATATATATATATATATATATATATATATATATATATATATATATATATACCATCCATCCATTATCTTTAGCCGCTTCTTCCTTTTTGGGTCACGGGGGTCACTGGTGCCCATATCCAGCCGTCACTGTGGGAGAGGCTGGGGACACCCTGGACATGTCTCCAGTCCATCACAGGGACACAGAGACAACCATTCACTCTCTCATAGCAGAATAAAGCAGAAAGAACACTGAATTAGGTTTAAATACGCAGAAATGAGCACAAAAAGTCGTAAATCAGCTTAAAAAATGTTAAAATTAGCCAAGAAAAATAAAAAGTAGCCGAAAAGACAGAACCTATGAGAAACAAGTGGAAAGTGCTGCGAGAAAGGAGCTCCAAAAACTGCGGAGTTAACCGAATAAGGTAATTTGCATAAAAACAGCTAAATTGTAGCAGGAACTGCCCAAAAAAAAATTTGAATTCATCTGAAAACAGCTGAAATTAGATACACTTCTAAAAAAATAAAAGGCTTGAAAAGGTAGAACAAGCTTAAATTACCAGAAGAAAGCAGAAAGAACATGGTTGCCCATTTAGGTTGAAAGAAGCAGAAATGACCACAAAACAGAAATTATCTGAAAACAGCTGAAAATAGCTTGAAAATCAGAAAGAAGCTGAAATTACAAGATAGAAGTGGAGAGCACAGTTTTGCTTAGTTAGGCTGAAAAATGTTTAAATGAGTGAAGAAATGTGGGATTAGCTGAAAAAAACTTAAATTAGTATAAAACAGCCATTTAGTAGCTGAAATAGTAGAAAAAGTTGAAACTTTAGAAATGAGCTGAAAGGAGTATAACAAGCTGAAATTAACAGGAAGTAGTTAGAAGAAGCACAAAAATGTAGCAGAAAGAATCTGAAAGGAGCACAAAACTGCTGAGATTAGATGAAAATTGCAGATTTTTTTAAAATTTGCACAAGGAAGCTGAAAGAAGCTGAAACAGAACAAAATGTGAAAGGAGCAGTAAAAGGTTGTTAACAGATCTAAAGATATGAAGGATGTAAAATGAGCTCAGTTCATTTTCTATGAGGAAAAATGGCAGAAAAGGCTCAAATATTTCAAATAGCTAAAGTTGCACCAATACCAAAAGTCATAGGATTATCCTGAAAGAGGTTTTGATTTATGATTTGTTAAAATAGCTGAAAACTGCAGGAGCCTTGCACCGAAAATTGGCTCACAATAGTGTGAATGCTTCATAAGCAGTGACTCGATTATTATTATTTCATTTAAATGAACTCAGGAATGTAATAAACTTCTGCCTGAAGTCAGAATCTTGTTTTCTCATCCTGATCATGGACTCTGTGGGACTCATGTGACGTTGTGTTGAGACACGACTCTTCAGGGTGTCAGTCCTGGTCCTCGAGGGCCACCATCCTCCATGTTTCATACGTTTCTCTGCTTCAACACCCCTGATTTGAATGAATGAGTGATTAACGAGCTTCCTGAAGACCTGCTGAGGGGGTAAGTCACCCAATCAGGTGCATTGAAGCAGAGAAACGACTAAAACGTGCAGGATGGTGGCCCTCGAGGGCCAGGACTGGACCTGTTTGAACAGAGTCCCACACCTGCTTTAAATTGATCCTTCATTGCTGGAGAGGTGCTTAATATCCTGAGTGTTGGAGCTGAGAGCCATCATGCAGGTGAACACGAGTCCAACTGCTAGTTCTAACGTTTGACCACTAGGTGGCAGTAGAAGACTTAGCTTTGTGACATCAAGTGTTTATTTTAGTTTTAATATTTTTTTAACTGCAGCAGAGGTTTGTTTCCTTTTATTAAACTTCTTCAGTCCTCCGTTTGTGAAGGAAGTCCTTAAAGAAGCAAACCGAAAGCCAAACTAAATTTGAAATGACCTAAAAGTTTGGAGCTAAAATGAAATCAGGGCAGAATGTTTTAACAACTTCACTGAGTCGCACTTTATTACTCTGCAAACGGAAAAGATGTTGTTACAGAATAACGGGAACTCTGAAGCAAAAACAAACAAATAAATAAATAAATAAACTTACGATAAAATAATAGCGACTGTGGAGAGTTGAAGGGCAGCTGATTGGTTCAGAGACTTAACGTATTTTCTGGTGTATAAGTCACAGTTTTTTTAATAGATTTGTCAGTGGATTGTATACGTTTTTTTTCATATTCATAAACCCAATTTTTGACTAACACTTTAAATTTCGAAGAAGTGCACACTCGCTTCACTCAGCTGGTGCAGGAACACTGGAGAGCTTGGATGGATGGATGGATGGATGGATGGATGGATGGATGGATGGATGGATGGATGGATGGATGGATGGATGGATGGATGGATGGATGGATGGATGGATGGATGGATGGATGGATGGAAGGATGGATGGAAGGAAGGAAGGAAGGAAGGAAGGAAGGAAGGAAGGAAGGAAGGA